AATATAAATTGCTTAAACTGAATCCTGACCCCGATTCCGCACCCCTACAGTGATCCTAACTCCAAATTTCATTGTTTCCGCTCCCAAGTCTAAACTGTACCGATTATAGTACAATTTGGTACTTTTCGTACACATAAGTAACAAATTTCCAAAGCTACGTACATATCCCATTCCTTCGCTCCGACGGTAATGTTAATTTAAAATTTCAGGGTTCCAGCCCCATTTTAGTTCGAATTTCCAAAAACCCTTTTGTACATCTATCCTACTCTCCTCAACGACCTCCAATCCAAATTTCAGAGTTCTAGCTCTACCGGTTCGCCAAATACAAATGTGATAACATTTAGTACTTTTTATTACTTTTCGCAACGTTCTAGTACGAATTTCCAAAAACCCAGCCAAGAGTGACCCTCACCCAAAATTTCAAGATTCCAACTTCAGCCGTTTCGATCTAGGCACGTGTGTCCGTCCAACTGTCTGTCCATTATAATTTATAAACACGAAACAGGCCACAGTTATGGACTAATCGTTACGAAATTTTGGTTGTAGGTCCAAGGATTGTTTTTAGTAAAGATCGGTTAATATTTAGGCTATCAAATGACCCAAAAAATTTATTTTAATCGCTCTAGAGGCCAAAAATATGATCAGAACCCTTTGTTTCAAATCTCATTCGTCATCCAGGGGTTTTCGAATGTAGAATTCATTTTTAGAAGAGGACAACACTCTTCGAAGATTTTTAGTAGTGCTTTGAAATTTTGCACTGAGATTGCTATTACTGTTGGTATTGAAAAATGGGGTATATCGGTCCACGGTAACGGTACCTTCAAATATTCGGCGTTATGGGATTTTTGACAGGTTTTTCAACAGAATTGGCTATAATTTCCTACGTTCGTTTCTCATTGGGTATAAAATATTCCAACCGAAAATGATGAATATTTTTCCCCTTTTTATACTCCTCACCACACTGTGGTACATGTTTGTTACAGACAAAAGAAAACGAGATAGACACATGGTTCCTTTTGAGAAGATGCATAGAATCACTTGCTAAGTCGATTTGTGCATGTCCGTCCGTCTGTCTTTCCATGGTAAATTGTAAACAAAGTACAGGTCGCATTTATGATCCGAATTGGATGAAATTTGGCATAGGTCACTAATTTGGCCCAAGGACGAACCCCATTTAAATAGGGAAAAATTGGTTAAGATTTAGACATAGCTCCCATGCATACTTTCGTTCGATATATCTTTCGATTTGAACGAAATTTCGCGTAATGTACTAAAATATGTCTAGAATATGTGTTAAGTTTACTGAAAATCAGTTCAGATTTAGATATAGCTCTCATATATATTTTCGTCTGATTTAATGTAAATGGTGTACCAAAATCCCTATATATCTTTCGATTTGCACGAAATTAGGCATAGCATACTGAATAAAGTCAAGAATGATGTGTGTTATGTTTCCGTGAAAAACGTTTCAGATATATATAAAGCTCCCGTATATATTTTCGTCCGATTTTAGGAAAATATTGCACTAAACTCCTAATGTGATTAATGAAATATCGTTTATGTTATTGACCTGTTAACAGAATAGTTTTCAGGAGTTGCATTTAGCTGCTCTTGTTATTTTGTAGTATTGTTTCAGTTCGGCGTGCAAGTTGTCCTACTATACTGAAGATTTTGTTCAATGTGTTCTGTTATAAAGGTTTCCTTTTTCCGAATCACCACTGTCGTCCAGAGTTTTCCATAGGCAGATTTCCTTTCTCGAAGAGGACGACAACTTTCTTCGAAGGATTTTACTATTATTTGGTTAGCATTCCAGTATATGTACTTAATGTTTAGGCTGTCATCGTTGCGTTACCTTTGTCTCTATTAAAACAGCATCCCGAAATATATGTAACAAGCCTTGTAATTAAAGTTAGTGGATGGTCTCTGGTCTCTTGTATTAATATATATATATCCTCCAAAATGACTCTTCAAAAATCAATTCTGAAAAGCTGAGAAGATTTTGTCAGGGTTCGCTTTTGAATGAAAAACCCAGGACCGATCTATATATCTCCGAATGAAATTTGTTCTACCCTCCATCATGAGGTAGGCATCCAAAATCGATAAAAAATCATTGAAATATTTTGTACTATTCCTATGGTGTAAGTGGTATACAGAGCCGAACTTTGATGATAAACAGTTGAATTTTTGTTATTAGGTCAGAAATATAGTAGCCCTCTAATCATCATCTACACCGTTTCTTTCAGGGTTTTCAACAAACCAATTTTTGTTTTATCGTCATTAGATTAATTAGAACATATGCGGCTGTAATTTTGAGCACAGTAGTGGGCAACAAATGTTCCGGATGTATATGGGTTTCGGCGGTGGCTGTAAGATTTTACTAAGGGGATGATCTTATGAAACCCTAATAACTCCTATCTAATTATATTAACAAGTGATGTGTAGTATTTTAATTTTATATATTTATATTAAAATTTAATATTTTTTTTTATATTTAATAACATAACTATTAAATATTTAAATTCAAGTAATGTTTCCAAATTATTCCCAAAATGTTGCTTCCCAAAAAAACACTAAAATCTACAGAGACAAATTATTTTTGCCCAGGCAACAAATCACTAAAATCACATTCATAACAACAACAACAACGACAACAACACCAACAAAGAATAACAAACATTTCCAATAGAAGTTCAACACAGCATATAAAATTGATTTTCAACAACAACGACAATAACTACGTTTGGGCAAACACCCGGAGTTGATGTCTGCAGAGCAATGCCTTTGTCAATAAATCTCCCGAGGAAGAATGATTTCAATGTTTATTTGTTATGCACTCTGTCTCGCTCGGTCGCAATGCAAATGCATTTTGCAAATAAAAAATAGAAGGGAGAGAGAGAAAGAACAAAAAAACAGGTCTAAGAAAAAAGTATGCAAAAAATATGTAGTTGTGCATCAATATATGAATTCGACGACATGGTAGTGGATGTAATTCATCCATGCGAATATTTGCATGCTGCTAACAAATCAAATAAAGTTTAGAATATTTTCAGAGTGCATGGCAATTTCCTGTTACATTTCATATGCATTATTTTTAGATTCGATGTTTTTTTTATTTTATATTCACGAGGTTGTTAGGAGGTAGGTAGGATAAAGAAAAAATAATACTAAGGGATATTTAGAATGGAATGTTGGGAATAGAATTGCAAAATAATTATACAACCAAATATACTGTTCTTATATTATTTTCCACACAAGTTAACACAATTACATCAGAGTCAGAGGCCTTACAGGAGACCACTGTAAGGCCTCTATATAAATCAATTTTCCTCTTAATTAAATTATTTTAAAATTCCTATATGTGCATGTGTGTTTCCTAAATTAAATTATATAAACATTTTATATTATTCTATATAAATATTAAAAAACACAAAAAAGTATAATTAAAATTTCACTTCAGACAATATCTTGGGCAAACAGACAAAAATATGAACTCTTCTCTTTTATGTTCTAGATTTCTTGAGCTAAGGAGGAAAAGTTAAGATTTCCCTTTTTTAATTTGCATTTCAATCTAACCCCGAAAAATGCTCAAATAAGAAACAACAACTTCCTCATATACAACCAACTCTTGACTACACAGTTGATTATATTCTTCTGCAGTTGTCTTTTGTTTCGACAAGTGTATAGGGTCGGTTCGGGTTGGTCGTCAACAACAGTTGTCCTAAAGTTTTTCATTTTACATCTTGTGAAATGTTGTGTTTTACATTTTAATTTTGTTCAAGTTTTTGTTTTGCAGACAAAAACATTGTTGACTAGCTGTCTGCCTGACTGACTGACAGACATACCACCATCACTTGGTCTATATTTTTGGCCATGGCCAAACACATCAGTATCATCATCGTCATCATCAACACCCAGTGCAGTCGTTTTCATCATCGTTAGCTCGTTCTATATTTGTTGTAAACATTTCATTATTCAAAATCTTAGAATGATGTTTACCAAGACTTTGGATATTTGAAGAAAATGTTCTTGAGAAGTTATTTGTATTAAGTTTGGTCATGTAGTAAGTTGTGTTGTCAAAACGAGGTGAAAGGGTTTAACATATTCGTTAAGATTTACAACGGTGTTTAATGAAAATAAATTTATGGGTAGCTTTTACAAAACAGAGATGTGATGTATCATTAAAGTATAAATACTTTGGTAGACCCAACTGTTCGGGTGACGTAGGGGATGATAGACAGCAAGCAAGGGCTCTGATTAGCTTTAACATGGCAAAGCCCAGGCCTATCTTGGTCCCTCTTTCATCTCAATTGTGGACACTGACCTCCCCGCGGTGTCACCTGTGGTAGCTACTTTGCACACCCGTTGAAATAGTCAGCTGATATGTGCCGCGTTGGGTTAATTGCCCACACTCGGAAAAAAAACAATACTATGAAAAAACAACAAAAAATAAAACCAAACCCCCCAATGTTGACGACTCCAGCAAACGTATAAATGACCACGACCTGCGATCTGCCTACTCCGCTAAACTTCCCCATCTGCTTTACGAAAACAATTCTTGACTCGATAATAATATAGTAGCACAATGGGAAAGAATTGCCAACTCCCTACAAATTGCAGCAAAAGCAACACTTGGTTACCAAAAACCTTCATCATGAAACCCATTATACGATCAGAAGTGTCGTAATGCGTATAGGACAACCCTGCAGAGAGTAGCAACATGAAATGCGAGGGAGAAGAGAAGAGAAACGTATTTTCACAAATAACAAGAAAAACGTGAGCAAATCGAGATGTGCAGGAGAAACCAGGTGACAGATACAGTTAACGTGTTGAGGATCAGGAGCATTTTGGGGCCCAGAACCAATAAGTCTTTAATTTTAGTTCAATGAAAAATTAATAGTTATATGCTTTTAAAAATACTATTAACCTTTAAGCAGTCGCGGCACAAATGTAGTAGTGTTATATTAATAGTATTATAGGTAATTAAAATTATCTGTACTTACTGCCATCACTGTGGGGAACACCTTCACGCAACAGAAAATATCGTAAACCTTCCATGGTATATGTTTCAGATGCTTCCAGTGGATCAACAACATTATGTTTACTTTTCGACATTTTTTGACCGTCAACAGTCCAATGTGAGTGAACAAATAGTTCACTTGGTGGTTCGAGACCTGTAATTAAATCAAAGTTTAAAGAATATATATTTTTTATTTAACAAAATTTATGATAAATTACCAACTACAATGTAAAGGCAAAATAAATATAAAAAAACGAAAAATCGTTCTCAGAGACCAGCGATTCCTGAACGGAATCTACGAAACCAAAATTGCACACAATTGACTGTTACAGTATCGGAACCATAAACACCATTCACAATTTTAGCCGCTTGGCTGGCATTTTCGCCTTTTTCAAAGAAAAACTGTAAAATGTACCGAATTTTCTCTTTGTTCACTTCCATTTTAACACCCTGTAACTCACAACTGAATGCACCACACAAAAAACAGCAACACATTTTTTTTACTGCGAATTGTCACCCTTCCAACGAGCATAAATCAAAATTGTGGCATGACCTGTCACTATTTGATAACATGGCTATACTAAGTAGAAAAATATCCACTCGGTCACTTTCCACTATTCCCCCTTCCGCTTTTTTTTTTTATTTTCCTACTGAACATCCTCTAACTTAAGTACTTATATGAATGTTCATAAAGAAGTAATAATAAACATATATATTTAAGGATCAGGGAACAGGATCTGTATTAAAAACTTCAGAAAAATCAAGCTGTGCCACTGAACAAAACATAAATTAAGACCCTCAACAAGGCGACGACAATGGTATACCACCATTCGAAAGGTGCGGCTCAATTAATTACCTTGAGAGAGGTCATAAAAATATTTAGACCTTTGGGCTCATCCAGGGACGTACGCAGGGGGGCGAAATGAATTTTTTTCACAGTAAATTTATGTTTGCAACAACGAATTTTTTTCATTTTGTACTACCGGGATGGAAATTGGCTGTTGGCCAATTTCATAAACGCCTCTCAACTAATAACATTTTCAATTCATCGATTCTACTTTCACTTCAAAATTAGAAAAAATCATAAAACATACCTGCAGCTATTAAAAATGCTGGCCAATATATACCATGGAATTTTAAAATATCTTTTCCAATAACTTGTACCGTTGGTGGCCAGCAGGATTGGAACTAAAACAGAAATTAATTTAAATCAAATCTCTTCATAAAATAATATCAATAACGTACCTTAGGATCAGGATATCCAGCCGAGGTTAAATAATTCACTAAAGCATCCAGCCACACATAAACCGATTGTGAAGCATCATCGGGTACGGGGATGGCCCATTTAACACGTTCCGCTGGACGTGATACCGAAACATCTGGCAATGGTTCTGACAACATGTCGAATAGAATTTTTTCAAATTTTATAGGTTTTACACGGCCTCCTTGTTTCAACCAATAAATAACATCCGATTGTAAACTTGACAAACGGAACATGTAGTTCTTTTCTTCAGTCCACTCGGCCGGATGACCCGATTCCAATGAAAATCGTTCCCCAGTTGCCTCATCAACACGTAGCTGAGAATCGGTAAGGAATGTTTCATCCGATACACAATACCATCCTTGATAATTTGCCGAATAGATGTGACCTTTGGAACTTAGGGTGTTCCAAAAATTTGAGACCGCTTTTTTATGACGATCTTCAGTGGTTCTAATAAAATCATCATTTTGTATGGCGGCCTGTTGGAATACATTACGATACCGGGCTGATATATCTTGACAATAATCTGCAACGGGTATCTTGTGTGAGGCAGCTGCTTGTTGTACTTTCGTTCCATGTTCATCGGTGCCGGTGCACAGACGTACTGTGGCTCCGGGCTTGGCTAAAAGTTTTTGGTAGCGACATATCGTATCCGCAATAACGGCAGAATATAAATGTCCAATATGAGGAGCTGCAAAAACAAATGAAAATCTAATAAGAATTTATTGGCGTCTTGCATGCGGTGTTTTGCATATACAAACCAGCATTAACATAAAATATGGGAGTTGTAACATAAAAACTTGAGCTGATATTGGAACACAGCTTTCGCACTGATTGCACTCTGGGTATTAACATTTTAATTGGCGTCTTTTACATTTAATTTTTTCGCGTCCCGTCAATGAAAAAGCGCAAAAGTTTGACAATTACGAAACCGCTAAACATGAAATACCGTAACACACACAGAACAGTTGTTTTCTGTTTTTGACAATCAGCTGTTTAGGTTTGTGGTTCAATGACGTATGGTACGTTAGGCTGTTGTGATTAGTGGTAACGCAATGTGAAATGATAGCACGTTCATACGAGCAAAATTAATGTTAATTGAATACAAAAACATATGTTATTTATAGTCCTATTTTACTGGATTTAGTAGACCTGTGGGTTTAAATTGTTAATTCTATTCGTTATATGTCACATAAATCCACAGGTTAATAAAACTTGTAGAAATGTAATAGGTCCGTTTATAATTCTATGTAATTAATATAATTTTAGTTAATCTACAGCATATACATTGTGGAAGGCAGAATTTATATTTAATTTGTTTTTCATTTTGCATCACTTCTAAATCTCATGTTTTGACATATTAGAGTTCCAACCGACATGTAGGGTTTCCGTATTTTAGAATATACAAATAATAAAAAAATATTAGCTTTCTATTATTTTTATTTTTGTTTTATAAATATTTTATTCCATATGGTCAATTTGTGTTAAAAATAATTTCTACGCCGTCAATAACTAGTTAGCTACCACACACAAAATATGGCAAGGATTTATCCCTCGACTGCTGGCAACCCCCTTAATATTTCACAATGTTCTGACTTCTATTAGATTGTTTATTTTGTTTTTGAAAATGTCAAAATATTGTGAAATTGGAAATCACTTCGTGTTAGAAACCCTTTTCATTGAATGTCCCGGTCAATTGAAATTTATAAAAAAATTATACAATAATTTTAATTTAAAAACTCAAATATGTGAAACTTGTAAAGTGGCAATCAATTATGTGTATAAAGAAAATAAAAAAATAAAAAATAATATTAATTGGAATAATGAGCTCTCAATTTTGGATTCCGAAAAATGTAAAGCCAAATATGTGTCATCTACCAAACTTGAAATGGGAATAAATAAATCAAATCGTAAACGAAAACAACAAATTAAATCAAAACAAAAATCTAAACTGAAAGCAAATATTAAAATAAAACTAAAATTACACATTCTATTAAAAACTAATAAAAAATAAAACAAATAAGTAGAGTAAAGATAAAAAGAGTTAAAAAATGTAAAAACAAAGTAACTATATTTCTTTAAAAGCTTCAGATTTAAATCTTCTATCCTATCGGAAATTTTTTATTGAAATTTATGTTATCGGATAGCAGACTTATAGCTATTTATAATTCTCAATCGACTTTTGTCTAATATCAAGCTTTCATGTTATATATTTTTTTTTAAATACAGAATGTGTACATACATATTTTTTACCTTACATTACTACCCTCAACCATGGCACAATTACACAAGGTAGTCTCATGCAGACATATGATACCAATAGTTTCATAATTTTACTTTTGACAACATTCGGTTTTCAAAATTTAAATGAAAATATCGTCCTTCGAAATGCACGCACAGCACGTGTCCAGTGGCAATAATTACAAAATGTTTATTATCTTGAAGTCTCCAGCATCTATAATCCATAAATATATGTTGTAACGTCTATAGTTATATCTTAAAAAGCAATATTAATAAAAAAAATGGATATATTTATTTGCAGAAAGTATAAATTTTTTTTTTAATATACCATTCGAAATGCATAAATTTATGGAATTTATTTTTCGAAAAAAATTGAAATTGATAGATGAGTTCCATATTAAAAAGGGTTGCCATTATTCATTTCTCAAATGAGACTACCTTCTGTAATTATACCATGACCCTCAACATACGGAGTTGCTTTTTTAACTCTTCTTAATGAATTCTCGTACTAATCCTTCATTCTCGTACTAAACCTTCACAACTAATCCTTGAATTACAGCCTACGACCTATTGTAGTTATATTTAAAATGTAATGCGTATTAATTCAATTTTATTCTCTTTCCAAATCCACTCTATAAAGTTCGTTTTTACATCATTTGAAATTTGTCACTGTATCATTTAATATAATGTGCCCTCTTGTTGCTATAAATCGTATTGGAACGCTTTTAGATTAGGTTGACATTCATAGAAAGCTATTTTCCAAATATTTGTTATCACTCCTCAGTGAATGATAATAATTGGCGGCAGTTGCAGGGAATGTCAACAAATCAGTGCACCACCAAGTGATTTCAATTATATTTTATATTTGCAATTAATTACACAAAAACTTAGTTAATTTTATTACACCATGCCAATGCATTGTGCTGTTGCTGACCATGAACTGGTCGATGGATGTTTTGTGGAAGATCCCAAGCATATTAAATTCATCAAGAAGAACTATATAGATTTTCGTCCGCGTTCACAAATCTGTCGAACATGTAAGGCAGCTATGGAATACATGTACGAATTAACCATTCAAAAAATCAAAGAAAAACGAAGGCGCATTCAATCAGCTCATGAAGAATTAAGTTCGGTTTCTTCGTTACAAACCCTGCGACGATCCCGGTCAGTGTCCATAAATTCGAATATATCAAATGACTCCATTGATAATCTTTTAACTAAGACTCCAGCTCATCAGTCACTAAATAGAAGTTCATCGGTGGCGAATGGTTCAGCAGTTGGCGCCAAAAGATTAGAAGTTGAATCGACACCATATATACGATCAATATTGGTACCTTTAAATGGACAGGATACACCTTATGCGGCATCTGTGCGTAGAATATCTACAGAAATGCCAGCAAACACACCCAACCAATTAAATATTACCGAACAGATTGTCTTCACTCCAACAATATATACCGAAGAGACACCAGTTGTAGCAGCACCAGCAGCCAGAAGAATTATGGGACAAGATGCTAATAATAACAACAGTAATAACAATACAAATCCCTTGGCGGCAGTGAGAAGAAATATTGAACAGGAAGCCAATAAAAATGCCATTAACGACTCCACAAGTAATGTTCGACTATCACAAGAACCCACAACCAGTAAAGCAGCTGCTGCTGTGGATGTTTCAAAAAAGCGTGTGCAGGGGAAAACGAAAACGAAAGAAATCACAAACTATTTTCAACCAAGTTCAAAGACCACAACTGCTAATACCAATTCCAATGAGCCATTGCCTGGAAAAACTCCTACCACCACTAAAAGTACGAAATCCTCACAATCACATATACGCTTATCACAAGAACCAACAACTAGTCACCGGGCAGCCGCACCAGCAGATGTTGAACCTATGTATGGTAATACTCCCACAGATAATTCTGAAGAACCGTCAGTGAGTGCATCCACTGTTGCTACACCAAAGTCAAAAAGTACCTCTGCTACCAATCATAGGAAACGTTTACATCATCTCACCCAAGACGATGACGACGATTCGGTAGAGGATGACGAACAAATGTTAAGTTTGCATGCATTCGATGGTACGCGTATGCCAAATGTTCAACCGATTATCAAAAGAAGTCGCCAACAGTTTACACATCCCGATTATCGAGTTATGGACGTATATATTGCAGACACATCGGGCGGATAAGGTAAGTCGATGAGAAAAAGTATTATTTTATTAAATTTATGTTGATTTTATTCGCATATATATGATTTTGAATGGAGATGTTTCTTTTCATAAATTCCGCTAGTAAGAAAGTATAATAAATTCTCTAGGTTTCGTTTTCATTAAATTGTCAATCCATATATGAAGGTCTGACTTAAAATAATTCGTATGATTCGACAAATATCAGATTTAGACGATTAACATGTGTTGTTTGGTATTCAGAGTGCCATTTGTTCACCTTTGCCTCTCGTATGACCTTTTACAGCAGGATGTTAAAAAGGTCACACGACAAACTGTCACCTTGTCTGAATCCTCGTACAGTATTAAAGAGCTCTGAGAGGTCCTTTCCGACTTTAACTGCTGTCCTTGCGTAACTTAAAGTTATCCTACATAGCCGTATTGGCTATGTAGTGCTTTCATCAAACAGGTGGGTAAGTAGAGCGGAGTAGGCATCGGCTACCTGTTGTGTTTGCAGCTTTCGACGTCGAGATTCTACGTTGTGTTAGATCGCACCTTTGCTCCTACATTAAGACGATTGCGAACATTGGCTACCACAAGTTAATGGTCCGAATCGATATTCGTTCCTCAAATTGATCGAACGTCTAAAACACTGGATGAATGCCTTCCGTCTATCACAATATGATCAATTTGATTTCTCGTTGCTTGATCAGGAGAAATCCAGGTGGCCTTGTGTATATGGAGATGCTTGAATCTGGTGCTGCTAATGCCGTTGTCGGATGTTTTTTCATGAAGGCTGAATTTTCCGACGGTGGGACCAAAAATATTTTCCTTTCCGATTTTTGCATTAAAATCTCCTAGCAGAATTTTAATGTCATGACCGGGCCCGTGGCCCTTTTTACGTTTGCGGGGGTCGACAAAATTATTTCCGAGTGTGGGCAAATAACCCGACGCCTCAACCCATTTTTAATAGTTCTTATGGGTGAACTCGTGGCCTTGTTATAGGGCACCAAAAAATATATTTTTTTTAAATTCACGCCTTGTTAAAAGGCTTCAAAAATATTTTTTTTTTAATTCACGCCTTGTTAAAAGGCTTCAAAAAATATTTTTTTTAAATCCACGCCTTACTATAAAATATATTAAAAAATCCACGCTTGGCTATGGACCCTCAAAATGTTTTTTTAATAAACGCTTTGCTATTTTTTAAATAATCAGCGCCTTGCTATTGGCAAAAAATCTACACCTCAAAAAATATTTACTGAACAGATCGTAATATCAAACCTACACCTTCTAGTACCTACAGGCAACTTCTCCTGGTAACTTATCCTCAAACTGTCACAATTTTAAATATTATGTTTTATTTTTTGCAAAATAGTCAGGCCTAATCCCAGTTTGTTTTTTTTATAAAAACAACTTTTTGTTAGTGTGGAAGTATTATGTTTTTTTTTGA